ACGGGGCTACGGCGTCGGAAGAGAAAAAAAAGAAGCGGAGGGATAACGGCGAGGGGGAGGGTGGCGAGTAGGAGAGGGGAGAAGAAGGAGGTCTCCTCCTCGGACGTGCGCGGGCGCCGCTTCTCGGCGTCAAAGAAGCCTCGATAGTAGGAGGGGGGCCTGACCGTGACGACATCCGTCGCGTGTGCGAGGGGGTCCATTTGAAACAGGGGCCCGGACGTGACTTTGCGTGAAACCGAGAACACAGTCACAGAGACACAGTTATCCTTCTTCTACTACGACTGAAGAGCGAGTAGGAACTAGAGAGAGGGGTAAAATGGAAATAGACGGGGGTTGAAAGAAAGAAGAGGCGAATTTGTGGGAGCATTCTGACCCTGTTTTGTAGGATCAGGGAATTGAGGCAATCGGGATTTTGATATTTTTACCATTATATGTGCTTAACAAACCCAGAGTAAACACTAAGCAGCAAAACCAAACAGAAATCAAGCAATGAGATTAAGGAAAGAAATAAAGGATAACACGTATAAAAATGCTGATTGCATAGAAAATAGAAAGTGGATACACTTTTTTATTGACTTTCGCAAGAATTACCTTCAGGGAAATAATAATAATCTACATCAACTGTATATCTGAAACGCATGGAGATCCATTCGAAGAAGCAGCAGTAAAATCTACAAGGACCTTTTTCACGTGTTGGATGGATTCTAGCTCGTGCTTTCGACATCGAGGTGGAATATTTCGCTTGCCAACCTTCAAATTTACATGCCCGAAGACCAAAAAAGAAGGAAGGATGAAAAAAGGACTGCCAATCATTCGTAGCTGTTCTTTCCAAAGATTTTTAAATCTAGAAATCGTTTTATCATTCGCGGTCTTTTCCACAATGGATCTTGCGAAAGGCTCGCCGTTTGGATAGCTTACTTCATACCATACGCAGCTCGCTAAGTTGTCTTCGGAAAATCCAAGCAGGCGGGAAAGGTTAGGGGGAAGAAAGGGCAAAAGCGATTGCCAATGAAGCTGAACAACCTCCTTCATCGCAGAGGAACTTCCGGTACGCGGGTGAAGTTTCAAATTCGAGCTCACAGAGGTGTTATTAGTATGATTGTTAGTTTTAAAACTCAATATAGGATATCGCGTTCTCACGGTGATAATTCGGAGGGAAGGAAACCCCTTCAGCGCCGCCACCGCCTCAACAGGGATATCTGAAAGATCGGTCAAACCACATTCCTCGTCGACTAAACGAGAACCCTCTCCTTTTGGTTTTCCTTTTAGAATTCTTCCTTCTGGGGGAAGGAGCGGTGGAAGCAGGCGCAAGGCAGCTTCGGCGACTTGCCAAATAATACGGCAACTTATTTTTTGTCCTTCTTCATATCGAAATCCCGCAATAGCGGCCCCGTAAAAATAATTATGTGCTTCAATAATCTCCTTTTCTGAATTTAAAAGCGGTGGGAAAAAAAACAACAGCGCTGGCATCATCCATTGTGAAAATATAAACGCCTCTGCCGTAGCGTCGGCAAAGCTCACCACAGAAATCCCTTCAGAAGCAGCGAAGGCTTCAAGCTTCTCAAGAATTTCCTCCTTATTGTTGAATGGATCACTTGATTTTAGCATTGCATCGTATAAATGTAGTTGAGTATAATTTTTTTTTCTTTTATTTCCCTACCCTATTTCAGGAGGGAAATAAAGTGCCAGAATGGGCCCAAAGAGATAAAGCTAAAGATATAGTTTTGATAAATAAATAAACATCGAAGGGAGTTGTATGAAGGGGGTGAGGGGAGGGAATAGGGAAAGCGCGGTACTAAAATTAAACACATAGTAAGTATAACATTGATGCCGACTACTTTTCTTAAAACAAAAAACCTTCCCCCCCTACTATTACACTACTTAATCAACATATTGTAGCAACAGCTAATTAATATTCTTCAGAATCAACACCTTTTTATTTAGCAGAAATGATAATAATAATATTTTGCACATCATATCCTTTCCTTTGACTTTTGCTTCGTACATCCATTCATTTTTTTTCCATTTTCTATAAAGTATACAAATCGTCGATAGATTTTGACATGCATATTGTTCGATCAAACCTTTTCAAAAACTTCTCGAGGACTTGATTAAACTCAAGCAAACTCTTCCCAGACTCCACCCAAGTCTTCTCGAGTACGCACATGTAACAGCAAAACACATCTGCCAACAAGCAGAATGAAACTTTACTGTTTGTGCTGTAAATTAAATTGCAGAGCCTCGCCTTTGCTGACAAAGTGGTGTAATTCTGTGAAAATTTCGATGAATAGACATTAAACATCGGGATCAGCTCTAGCAACGTGATAATACGCATACTTACATTAATGGCGACGCAAGAAAGAATAAAATCCTTTGAGGCGAGAAATCGGCTCCAGTGATTGGGATAGGTTTCCACTAAATACACGAGTTGACCGAGGGCAAAAATCCCAGCAGCTCTAAAATCTCTTGACGGGTCATCTGATTGAAAGCCGAGCTCTCTCCATCTTTCGTGAACAAATTCAAAAGGGATATCGTTAAACATCACTTTGTGATGGCCTTTCCATAAACGGCGAAGCAGATCCACATGCGAAGGGTTTTCGCGATTGTAGGGTTTGATATAATCTTCAGAAATGTTTGTTAGCATGTTTTTAAAATGCAAAGGAATGTCCGGAACCAAGCAAGAGATAAGGGGACGGGGTAAGATATCCATAACAATGAAAAAAGCCTCTGTCACTCCACACATTGGCGTGTTTTTAAAATGATCAAGACAGGTAACTTCTTGAGAGTTGTGACGTATTATTTCTTCAAATTCCGGGGTGTTTGTAGAGTCTTGAGATTGATGTTGATTTATGGGTTCACTATGAGGGGCGGAGGCGTCATGTTTTTTTAAAAAACGCTGACGCATTGTTTTATTATTCCTTCAATTAATTCTGTTTTCCTATGAAAAATCGTCGTTAGTTGTTCAAATCTAGTAAATAATTGTAAAAAAGCACTGAAAACAATTCCACATCTAAAAAGAGATATCGATGGGACAGAAGTACAATCACTGAAGAAGGTTCCAATTTGTTGGGAGTCTGGCTGATTGGGGGAAAAAAACCGCAAATAAAAACAGCCTGCGAAGAATGAATCTGCAAGGGTATTGTTATTATTATTCTTTTTTGTTGCAAATGAAAATCATAAGTGAAATCGAAGAACTCATTCAATTTTCCCCAAGGTACTAATATGATATTTGCAACCTAATTCGCCTATTTCATCCTTCCGTATTTTTGTTGGCATGTTTAGCGTGCTCAAATTCTAACAGAGAAATCAACATACGAATAAAGAAATTTCAAATTAATAAATAAATTAGCGAGAAATCTTATATTAATTTTCAGTTTATCTCCATTATTAGTAGCATTTATTATTCATTACGTGGACCTTTTATTGTCTACCGCCAGAGGAAAAACGACACAAGAAAAACAAAGCGTACTTGAAAAGAAGTCAAAAGAGAGAAGTCACTTAGATCTTCGAGGTAAAAAGCTTCTTTTCGTAGCTGTGAAGGGAGTGCACTCCTCCTTCATTCTGTGCAATGACAGAACGACGGTTAAACAGCACCTGTCCATCATTAATTTTCTCTCTAATCGCATCGAAGCTGCGTTCGCCGATATCCTGCGCGGACTGCTGGAGCCCCTGGGTGATATAACTCAGCAATTCAAATACAGACCCTTTATCGATCACATTCCCAAGCACCCCTTGCGCAACCTGAATCTTTTCATTTTCCGACATATACCGCTTCGCCGACTCCTTTCCTTGGTTCATCGCTTCGATACTCCCCATCCCACGGTAAACTTTCAGGCGGTGGCCATTATGAAAGAAGTATTCGCCGGGGGTCTCACTCGTTCCGGCAAGCATGCCGCCGAGCATCACGACGTTGGCCCCGATCGCGAGGGCCTTGCAGATATCCCCGACGCTGCGAATACCGCCGTCCGCGATGCAGGGAACCCCGCGCGAGGCGCAGTACCGCGCGACCTTATACACCGCCGTGGCCTGCGGCCGCCCGCACGCCAGGACCTCCTGCGTGATGCAAATACTCCCACTTCCCATCCCCACCCGGATGCCGTCCGCCCCGGCGTCGATGAGGTTCTTCGCCTGGTCCTGCGTGACCACATTGCCGGCGATCACCTCGAGGTGGGGGAAGCTCTGCTTGAGCCATTTCACAAAGGCGATTTGGTACACCGAGTTCCCCTGCGAGCTGTCCAGGACGATGACATCGACCCCGGCCGCGGCGAGGGAGGACACGCGGTATTTATCCTCCTCGCGGGTCGACGTCGCCGCCGCGCAGATCAGCCGCCCGCTGCTGTCGAGGGTGCTGTTGGGGTACTGCCGCGCCCGCACGGCGTCGCGCCGCGAGCACAAATACACCACCTCGTCCTTGTCGTTTAAAATGGGCAGATAGCCATGGCGGCTGCGATTAAGCACCTCCATCGCCTCCTCGAGGTGGATCGGCGCCTGCTCGACCGTCATCACCGCCCGCGGCGTCATCACCCGGGAGACGGCCGTCGACTTGTCCTTGACGTAGTCGATGTCCTTCGAGCAGACAATCCCGAGCAACTTCCCGTGCGATTCCCCGTCCTCGGTGACCAAAATCCCACTAATCCCTTTCTCGGTGCTAATTTCGAGGATGGTTCGGATCGGCGTGGACGGGCTCACGGCCTTTGGGCGGGAGATAAACCCATTGCGGTAGCGCTTCACCGACTTCACCATCCCGACCTGGTGGGCGACGGTGCAGTTGTTGTGCAGGACGCCGATCCCCCCCATTAGCGCCAGGGCCTTCGCCATCTCGTTCTCCGTCACGGTGTCCATCGGGGAGGAGAGGACGGGGATGTGCAGGCGGATCTTCTTCGTGAGCTGCCCCGACACGTTGACGTCCGAGGCGGGGAAGTCGATGAAGCCCGGGAGGATGATGAAGTCGCTGTAGGTCAGGCCGTCGCTCGCGAACAGCTCCTCCGCGGGGGTCCCGTCCCGGATGGACTTAAAGCGCAGGTTGCCACTCTTGGAGAGCATTGGAATAGGGGTGGGTAAGGGGAGGAGGAG